GTGGGGGGTCGCTGGAAAAGGAAGCCGCCGCCTGGGCGGGCTGGGGTGGGATGCGGGGCCGGGGGAGATGCAGGGATGCGCAGGAGCTGGGATGCTGTTGGGCAGGGTTTCAGGGGTTGGTTTGAGCGGGGAAGATTAGTTTGGGGAAGGGTTCCTCGTGTATCCCGGCAGGATGACTCTGTCCTGGCAAAACTACACTCCAGCAACTTGGGGAAGTGGCTTTTGTTAAAAGCTATTTCGTTTTAAATGTGATTTACTCTCATTTAAAAGCTAAGAAAAGAGGAATGGGATGTATGATGGAATTTTAGGAAAAATTAGGACCCTCTGGAAGTCACTTAGCCCAACCTGAAGCAATATTTACTGCATGAGGAATCTCTGGCGGTGAGGTTAAGTGGGAAAGGATAGAGCTACTTTAAGCATAGGGCTTGATTACTTTGATTTAATTTGAAATGCTATCTTGCATTTGAAATTTGCTATTTTTCATAACAGGGAGTGCTTGTCAAACAAGTAAAGCTGAATGGGCTTTTTAACAAAACATACTCTCCTTTCTATTCTATGTTCCACTCCAGCTAGATTAACGACTTATACCTCGTGGAGTAACATTTCAAAATATGCTGCTGTGCAATGAATAGTTGTGTTTTGTTTGTATTATATGTGTGTGAATTACTTTCACCAGGAAAGTTCTGATTTGATGTGCTTGTTTAATATCAAGACTCAAAGGAATCTGAGTACAGTATAGTGAATATTCTGTTAAGAAGAAATTCTGGAGACATGGAAGAGGGGAGGGAAGGAAAAGGAAGGGCATTGGCACACAGTATTTAATGATTGTTCTTGCAGAAATGATTGCCAGGAGTTTGTGTAGGGAGAGCAGTGGAGAGAAGAGAAGATGTAAGAACTGAATCCCAGGTTGAAAAGTGGCTGAAATTCTGCAGATGGCATTCCGCTGCCTTAGAAGTTGGAAGGATGAGAGAACAAATATATCGCGGACAGCATCAGTTTTGTGGGATTTTCATCTGTATGTTCATTTTGATGGCTTTCCTCGATAGCACTCTTCCCCCCTTCCCCCCCGGTTATTTTGTGTATATTACAAAATAACTTATTGTTTCTCTGTGTATCCCACTGTGTACATATGTGAACGAATGAAGTCCTATAGGGGCTGCAGCAGTGTTCTGGGAGGAGTGATGGAGGGACACTGCTTGGCACTGGGGTCACATAGTCCTAGGTGTGAGCACGAAACAGAAGGGACTGCACGTGACGTAAGAGTTTTCTGAATAAGTGGAGAAGGGTTAAGGAAACTTTGGAGCTCGTGAAATAATTGCATCTCCTTTGTCCAAAAGTTTATGTTCCAGGCAAAAAAAAAAAAAAACTACCACCCAAACAAAACAACAACCAACAACAAAAGAAAAATCAACAAAAAAACCCAGCAAGCTGTAATATTCAGGCTTTCTTGCCTGCTGCCTTAAGCTTTACAAGCTATTGGATTTCTTCTGCTCTCCCTGGAAAGCTTTGGGAACCAGGCAATGGTAGAAACAGAGTTCAGTGACAGGCAGGCAAAGGTTTAATGGGGAAAGTGTGTTGATTCAAGGTGTTGCCCAGTTCCACCCTTTGCAACCAGAATACCAGTTCCAGGCAATATTCCAATTGGAATATACTAATTTAAGAACAGAAAACAAAGTAAGAGAATTGCAGCATCTTTCATTTATTTGGAGATTTTCCTTGAACTGAAGCAAACGTGGAAAAAAAAAAAAAAAAGCAAATTGTCATTGGAAAGCAGTTTTCTTATTACGTGAGCCTCCTAGAGATTTCAGAAATATCCCACTTCTACATAGGGTGAAATTAAGACCGCTTCTAATTTTTTTTTTATTTTTTTTTTTCTCCTGGAAAACAAGCATCGCGAATAATTAGCCACCTTAAGTCCGTACCACTACCAAATTATGGGTTTGAAATCTACCCCTTAATGCCTGGAACTAACCACTGGTGTAGTGGTTCTTGTAAAACAAATGGAGGTGATGTGCATTCATACCCTGCTCACCTGGCCATTCTAGCTAAGTTTACTATCACCTCTTTTTTGTTTTATTTGGTGCAATTATTTGAAAAAAAAAAAATTAAAATGTGACCCCAGTTAATTATAGACTGTTTGGGAGGCTATAAAATCTCTATTAGTCTGAAGCCTTTAAGAACAGTGTATAAACTGCTCAGGCATGGCTCATGAGCAGCAGCTTTGGGCAGGGGGATAAATTAAACGTCTTTGTAGGATTTCCTGCAGTCCTAGGACTGTACAGATAAAGCACCACCCTTTCCAGCACCAATCTCCCTTCCAGGTGAGGTACAACACATCCCCACATCGATACGCTTGCATGGTCTTTTGTGTGCTCACAATTAATTGATGCTCATTTCTATTATTTACAGAGACACTGATAATACATTATTGTCAGAAATATACTGCCAGATAAAATAACAGTGTGGAAAGGTGGATATTTTGGGTGCTGGGTCAAGAGGGAGTCAGAGATAGTGAATTCCAGGTTTGTATCCTGGATGGGCAGGGATGGAGAAAGAAGATGCCCCAAGCCAAGCACAGCACTGCTGCAGTGTTATGCAATTAATAACACATTCAATCTTCTATGGGACTGAGCTTTTCCACATCACAAACACGCCAGACAGAGGAAACAAAACTCTTTACACATTTACTGTGTCACCTCAAAAATGCCACGTTCATGCCATGGGCTTTATTCATATGCAATCTTACATTACATAGCACATGTTTAATTGTTTAACGTACAATAAAGCAAGAGGTGGGATCGAGATTCTCAACTTGGCGATGTGTGTGCTGGAGGTGAGCTGAGTTCTCTGAGAGCTCGAGGTTGTAGGTGCTGGAATGTGTTTTTCTGAGCAGGTCTTAGCATTCAAGAGCTGCCATGAAAATTGTCTTGCCTGCTCTCCTGCTACTCATGGCTGAGAACTGACTAATGCTAGCCTGACCCCTGGTGAAAGCTGAGTAACTTCCACCCTGTGTATTGCTAAGAGATGTGAGTGTCCGTGTCTGCTGTGAACTTGAGAAGAAACCTCCTGCTGTGTTGCTGACGTAGAGCAGGCAGAAACTACTGGGCAATAAGCTTGCTAGGTACTGTATTGCGTTCAGAGTTTTTGTTTAAATCACTGACACGGGATACTTACGCAATTGCTAAGCAAGGTTTGTGCTTCCAGGTGCACCGGTGCCCTCCCAAGCACTGGAGGTGGATGAGGATTTGCAACTGTGGAAAGAGGTAAGCATCACCTGCGCACTGCCTTGTGGTGCACTCCATTTCTTCTGTGCCCATCCTTGCTACAGTCACACCTCACTCTCCTGTATTCCTCCTGCATGGAGTTCAGGTGCTTCTTACAGTCCTGCTTCTCCTGTACATCTCCTACCCTGACATCAACGAAGAGGTGAAACATCTTATTTTCCAGATTTTCTGAACAGTTGCTCCAGGAGAATGTTGAGGCTGGGTGTTGAGATGTCATTCGGGCAAAAGACTCTCTTGGCTCAACGGAGAGCTATGTTTGATAATAGTTGTCATTTAACTGTCAATGACCAGGCAGTCACTGTCCCTGGAAGAAACACAGTGTCCCGTCTGGTATTTTTATAGTCTGTACACAGTAATTGTTTCAACGCATCCAATCTTACCTCTTACTTCTTCTGTTTCACGCACAGGGCTGGGACACTATTTAATCCTACCCTAGCCTCTCAGTTTACTAGGTAAAGGACAATGTACTGTGTCAATTAGCCCTTATTAACATTTTGCTACTGATCACTATCGTAACTTCCACTCTCATCTTTGAAATCAGCATGTGTTTCGGCTCTAGGATGTGACACGTGTGTTAACACGGGCTCTTCCCTGCCCTTTCGGAACAGATGGAGTGACAGGGCATAACACACAGAGAGGGTTTCGCCTGCAGCTCGCATGCCCTGGCGGTGCTGTAACCTTCAAGTATTCTGCTGACATTTAATTTTGTAGCTTCTGATAACATTAGAAAGCAAATGACTCACCAGGAGTACAGATGCAGAGAGTAAATTTCTTCCTACTGTGGGCATTACAGGAGACGCTTCCCTTGCTGCCAGCTCCCCTTAGATCGTTTCGGAAGCGTTGACTCAAACACCAACACACTCCTGGACTGGCACTTGAACAAGCCCTGGTGATATTTATCTCTGGGGAAAAAGTGGTCTCTTGGGAAGTAAGGTCCTGATAACTATAAGGAGTTTATGAAAACGAGACATTCTGGATTAAAACTGCTGCTTTATACATTTCTGTATTTATTGCTAAGATTTACTGTTTGTAACACAGTATTTGTCCCTACGCTGACTGGAGGCAAAGGCAAAGTTTCCATTGATTTCAGCCGACAAAATGTATGCATGAGATACTAAATTCTGGGTAAAATTATGTAATATAACTGATACAAAACTTACTATTACAGCAAGAATAATGCAGGACTGCAGAGGGTCTGAGGAAAGAGAATAAGGTGCATAGGTATACACCTTAGATCAACATGATTACAGAATCATACTAGTTCACCAGAGTTCCTGGGAGTGAAAAGAATCAGTTCTTCCCTGTTTTTTGCTTTATTAGAGGATCAGTCAGGAGAAGCCCTGCCTCTAAGTTAACTTAGTATTTTCCAGGAATGACTCCGAGTTTATGAATAAGGGAACTTCGTAACTAAGTATTGTGTTCCTTTACTCGTCTGTCGCATCCTTTCGGTTCTTTATGTCATTTAACCAACCCCAATGCATCAATGATGTTAAGAACTATAACTTTTCTTTTTTTTTTAAAGGAATTAACAGAAATGGTGGCATTTTCTCAGCCTTTACTTTGTCCATGCAGGTTTTGGCTGAGAGATCCTGCTTTGTGTTTGACACAGTGCAAGGCAAGGTATCTTGTCCTGCTATGGAATTATGGTAGTTCTCTAATAGTCCCCTACAACTACAAAACAAGTAAATAAACCAATAAAAAGCAACAACAAAATCCCTCACCAAGAAGAGACAGTGAATTTTTAACGTAGGCTTCCAAAATGACTTCAGTTTAGTTTGTCTCACGTGCTGCTGATTTCTCCCTCTACATATTCTGACTCTGAAAGTAGTGAAGCTGAACTAATACACCCGGAGGCAAACAAATGCAAGATGAAGGGAAAAGAGAACGGGGAGGATGTGTTACCAACAAGAACTATTTGAAAGGGGAATTCTGTGAGCTATTAGCTTTCCCACTACCTCTGCTAATGCTTTCTCGTAGATTGTCTCTAGAGAAATGAATCATCTCTTGTCTTGAAGTACTCAAGACAAGTACTCATTATTTGTTTATTGCTTTTTTCATTTAATGTTTTCCTTGCTAAAGAGTGTTGTTTAGGGCTTTCTACCTATAAGAAAATCATAAGACCCATTGCATTACCTACAGTTTGTTTAAAAAAAAAAGTTTTAATGCAGTCTATGAACTAGATGACAGGCAAAGCTTTTTGGCATCTAGACAAAGAGTATCAAATATTCAATGCAAGAAATGGTGCATACCAATGCAGCTTGCTATTGATATAATTTGAAAGTTATATACTGAAAAGTTAAGCCTCTTTTTTTTTCATTATTATTAAACTACACAGCGTCAGTTGGAGTACTTGAGAATTTCTCTTTTCCTTTCAGAAGACTTTGAGCTTCCAGCACTGGTAATATTATTTCCATGAATTCCAATGACCTTTATTCCATTTCGTCTCCCTCACCAATTGGTAACTCCACTAAAATTCTTTCAGTGGTATGGTATCCTTTTGTCTTGTAAAAGAGACAACAGAAAGAGCATGTGATTAATTGTCTGCACAAGGCCATGAACAGTAGGGAGACGATGGGTAGGGATCACTTATTCATTCCTTCTTCCAAGACAAGGTCGTGACCACTGAATGAAGCTAGCTTTGAGAAGACTGATCAAGACAAATGGAAGTCCAGTGTTTAGGAAACCCTTACCGCAGGACATTAGGGATGCTGAAAGTTTATAATGATTCAGAGAGAGATTGGTAAAATTCACAGCACAGAAATTGGCTGTGGTTGGAGAGCATGGGTTTTACTAGACCGCTGGTCTCTCCTTAGGCTCTTCCCTGGGTGCCAATGTATGGCCATTTCTGGAGGTACAATGCAGAGCTAAATATACATTTATTTTGATCCAGACGAAATGGCTGGTGGCGATTGAGGCTTCTTGGTTTGGTTCATGGATTTATTTGGGGGGTGGTGGTGGTGTCTGTATGTGCAACATTCCATTCTGTGCTGATGTGTCTAAGTTCAACAGCAATGACTTCTTCCACAGCAATCTTTGAGTCTAGATCCCTTGAAATATATTGAATATATCTTTTACTAGCACTGTGATTTGAGAACTACCTCCTTTATACAAAATATTGTAAGACTCCTCATTTACCAAAGAAATCAGTGCAAACCTTGGATATTGGCTGCTTGGTGACTCACACAAATTGACTGGCATTCATAGGATGTGCTGGCACACATCTTAATTACTCAAGAGATGTGTGTGTCGTGTACCTGCAGGGATGCTGGAAGCCAATTGGAAGAGTGGTGTTTGAGGACTGCTCTTTGAATCAATTGCTTTGTCATGTTCTTTGCAGTTTTGTATAATCCAAAGATGTCACAGAAGAGATATAAGTTCATATTCCATAGCCCACATGCTTAAAATCGTAATTTAAAATATTACTTAGTCTGAGAAGGCTACAAATAGGAGGGGTGGGAGTGGAGTAAGAGAACGAAGGACCCATATATGTTCGTGTTTGTTGTGATCAAACAAGTATAAATTTGTTTATTTGGTCAAGGGCTTTTTTTTTTCCCTTGAATACAAAATATTTCATGAATGTACCTATAAGAATTCCTTATTGTGGACAAGCTTGCCATATCTTTGGCTGCACTGAACCATTTTTGAAAATATACTTATTTCACCATTAATCTGACTTCTAAAAAAAACGACTGTGTGAACTTTTACAGATAGATGATGCATGTTCTGTCTACCTGTCCAGAGATTCTCAGCCTCAGGTGAGTCAGATAGAGGTTACTTTATTATTACTGTTTCTTATATGTAGCAGGATTGGAAGTCTGATACCTGAGTTCATGTTTTCTTTACATTAGGCATCAAGTGCACTGGAAGAACTTTGTTTTCTGGTCGTGGCTTTTCTCCAGAAACCACAGGTAACACACACGAAAAACTACTTAGTATTTCTGAAGCCTGATCTCTCAGTGTGCCAGTGTCTACAATGAATTTCGAGGACCCAGTAGCTGAAGTGTCACTCAGTGCTGGAAGTAATACTGTAATCAGTTCTTACTCTGAAATTCTATGTGTCCTAACTCAGCACCTATTAGAGACAATAAGGAGACTCTAATGTTTGGAAAATAATCTCCAGGTTGAATATATGGTTTCCGATGTTTTTACTCCTCTAGATTAGAAAAACAATGAGCTGTCTATGGAGAAAGAAATTTACTTGTGAGAGTTGAGGGATATACAAAAGAGCATCTGCTAAACCCATCTACTCTTCTACTGGAGAGTAATCAACGCTCACTATGGAGTTAGTTACATTGATAAGCAAAGACATGTAATGCATCTGTCAAGAAAGGATGATATCCCGATCCAGTACTGAAAAGTTTATAATGTAATCAAAATTGCCCATTGTGCTTTTTTTTTTTTAACAAATAAAAGCTTCTCTACCAATTATTATTCCTACAGGGTTTAGATGAAAAAGACAACACCAAAAGGGTAAGATTTCTATGTATGTTTTATGATCACACTAAAATTGTCAAGAAAATCATAACACCCTTGCCCTGTTTTGTAGTAAAACCCCACTTTTAATTTTTTTGAACAGTTCTTATTTCATTATTCTAAGACTCATGACTCAGGCAACTCAGACATCACGGTAAGTGGCATAGCACCTCCTTGTCAGTACATGGTAATGTTCCTTTTTGCAGTAGTCTCTCCCACTGTATAGCGAGCTCAGAACTGGGAGCTTTATGTTTAAGATATAGAATGTGTTTTAATAACATGGAAGAGGATCATTGATACTGGCCAAGTGTGCAAAAAACCAATCAAACCTGCATAGAATCCCAATCTTAATCTTGTAGTTACAACATTTAAGTATAAAGTCAAATGCTTGTTTCTGGTACTGGAACATAACACATGCAGTGAAACAGTGTGGATTTATAGAAGCTGAGAACATGACCATAAATATCAGGAACTCAATGAATTTTTACGAATTATTAATTAAATTTTATGCATTTATTTGTGCATGTCATAAATATGTATCAGGCAAAACAGTATTTAAATCACACTCAGACTTTGGATTACATTTTAAATGAACAATGTGATTTTAAAAATAGCCTAGTATTGGTGATCTAAAAATATTCTCATAAGCCAACAATATAAGCCAAACTATGTGTGATCCATTCTTGCTTTTAAAGTACAAACATAATCTGTTATTTCTGTGTATCTGTGTGTTTTTTCGGTGCATGACAGGGTTTTGAGAAAGTTAAACATTCCTTTTCTGTCACTTCTAAACAATCATCTTGGACACTAACGTCCATTTTTGCACCGTTCTTTACATTTCTTCAGAAATATGTGGTGGTTTTCCTAGAAAGTGATATCGCTGACATCGGGGCCGGTGTTTTCATGATAGAACTGCTCGGGAGGTTTTAACAGTAATCAGGGTAGAGTGAAACAGGCTATTTCTGCTGCCTCTGCTTAGGAGGTTACTGCATCCCCCTTTGTCCCCATGCTGAATACCTTTGCCCCTGCCTGCCCCCAGGGATTACTACTTTTTCACTTTCTTCTGCTTTAGCTGTTCAGGTGACTCTTTTCTAGCCCAGGTCTCAGAGATACTAACTTAGGGGAGATCCATCATTCTTTGGCTTTATTAGTCTCTCTCCACGGACTGCATGCGGCCAGCTGGGATGCCCTTTAACTCCTCCACGACATATCAGACCTCTATTATTTCAGCTGTTATGATGTCACATTGCCTACCTTAGGCAGACAGTGCAAAACTGGCTCCAAGTAGGCAAGTTCATTTTACCTATTAAATACACTATCACTTTGGTAATGCTAGTTATTCCAGAAGTTATATTTCTCTTTGTTGTATCATTTTTTCTAAGAAGTATAGTATAAAAAATGCCTTATTTTTTAAATCGTGTTTACATGAGTTGAAGATTGAAATTGGTTGACAAAACATGGGGTTTCTACTTTATTTCCTATGGTGGACCTCTCTGCAAGCCCACATGGTTGTATTTTGCCAGGGGGGCACTTACACCACGCACAACGCCACTGTGCTTAACCAGGCCTTCTGCAAGCATAAGGTCTTGTTGAACACAAGGAATTTCACGATTGAAGCTTGTCTCATAGGTACAGTGAGCAGTGGCATGGTTACAAATTTTTCTTGAGAATGGATCCCTTCTGCACAGTTTTCTAGCAAAAAAAAGTAATTTTCCTTGCTGCGATTTAAGTTACTTTGAAATAAAATGAACTTTTCAGTACAATGAAGATTGAAGCTGCTAACTTCCATAGTAGATAACCGTAGAAATGTTATTAGGAGCAGTGCATGGAAATGTTCTCTGTAGCACTTGCAGGCGCTGATCAAAGTTTGAACAATTGCAATTGCCTCCGCAAGAAGTCTGTAAATAGTTCTAAACTTCCAATGAGTAAAGGTGAGGACGCATAGCTTCTCCCTCCATCGCTGTGTGAGTCACATTTCTAGTGTAAATATAGATGTTGGTACCTGTGTGTTGTCAAGTCAAAATGTTCAAAAAATACGTTTCTCAAATAACATCTTCAGTCCTTTTCTGGTGCATGTTTAGTCCATAAGCCAGTACTGTGGGAAGAGATTTTTTTTTGCATCATAAGGTCTGAATTTCATTGTTGCTCATGTGTCTGTGTTCGTGTCCTCTCAGTCGTCTGTCCTGCATCCTTTGCTGCAACTCGTTCCCCAGCTTAATGAGAGAAGACTGAAGAGATACAAAGTGGACGTATGTAATCTTAAACTCTGCATGTTTGCATTTTCACCCTTTGTGATTCATTATCTCTTCTAAAAATGTCCTTGTGGACCTTTCTGCCCGTAACATATTTTTTTTTCGTGATTTAATATCACACTAGTGTATTTTCATCAGAAATGCGAGGTTTTTCTGTTCTTTAATTGGTGAAAAATAATCCTGCTGATATTTAATATTTAAACCAAAAAACACTTAAGTAATATATGCTTAACACAGAACAGCGGTAGAACACAGAGCCTATGTATCAAAATGGATTGATAATTCTTTTATAAAAAGAAAAATAATACTTTCAAATTTATCTGTACCATTATATTGCAGTTGAGTTATATTTCTAGGGGGGGTTCTTTTTTTTCCCTCTATGGAATTCAAACCATATCTACTCCTTAAACATATATTATTTATGACATAGCAGGAAGGATTTCCAAGTAATTTATAAGCAATTTTACTGTTTAACTTAAGGTACAGATAAGAAAGTTCCCTATGGAACTAATTTTCCGTAGAAAAGTAGTGTGTTTTGGAACAAAAGTTCTACATAGAGAGAAATAGCATCATTGTTTCCAAAATATCATAAAGTTTGGGTATATTTGCTGCAAATGCAATTTCAAAAATCAAAAGGCAGATGGCTATTAATGTTCATTTCTTTAATGTGGCTATGGACAGAAGAGAAAAATGTGGGCTGATACATAAGAATCTTTCTGTATAAGAATACTGAAGATACGCATATAATAAAGTATACCAAAATCTAAGACCCAGATTCTTCCTGGTTTACATTGACTTCAGCTTGATTATTCCTTAGCTTCACTGATATGATTCCTTATATTCACTGATACACAAGTTAAATTAGGTGTACGAATGTGATATTTAAAACTCGGGTAGTGGCATTGCGATAAACAGGACTTTTCCTTTAGTAATCCAGATAAAGGCTGTGTTGCTAATTCCCAAATTTTCAACGAACTTTTAATCCTAAGGTTATGTATATCAGCTTTCATCTAGTCATGGCTGTGGTTTGCAGTATTATCCACACCTCTCTTCAGATCACTGCACAGCCCCACCTACATGCCCTGAATCATGTTTCTTATGCAGAGACAGAACCTGGCCACATATAAGAACTTAGAGAGTTGGTACATCTTCTCATAGACTAAAATTGTTATGAAAATTTTAACCCACCACACATGTGAAAGGAAAATGCAGGGTAAAATTTACCTTCTGTGAGTGATGACGTTGACACGAACTGTATTTATGCTATTGGACGTATATACCAACAAAGAATATTCTTGGAATTGCTCTTTGTGCTTTTAAATTAACATACATCTCAAATAAGACAGAGAATGGGAGAGAAAGCATAAATGCAAGAACACAAAATTGCTGTAAGTGAAAAGAAGCTGCCTTTTAAATCCAATAAAGTCCCTCTGCTAGAATACTTTAATATCCTGAATTTGTTTCCACTGAAGTTGATGGTATAATTAATGGAAATAGAATACACAAATTAACAGACAATAACCTAAAATTTGTGGCATATTTGCCATATTTCAACATATTTCAGCCTCTTCACGGCAGTTTTATATTTAGTGGGATCAAAAAAGAAACTACAAGGGTGTTTTTCCAAGTAACAATAATACCAAACTCTACAAAGTACATCAGTGAGATCACGTGTCTTTATATATATTCAGAGAGTCACTATATTTATAAAAACTCACCTATGAAATTTAATAAATTGTTTCTGTTTAAGCCATCAAGCGACAATTTGAAGACTTATCGTTCACATCAAAGAATCAAAGTCTATACTCTACAAATCATAGAATCCTTACGAAAAATTTAAAAGTATACTAGCTATCTAATATAAAGTTTAAACATATAATGATATAAAATTTCCCCTTTTTAGGATAGTGTTTGGAAATATTTCTTCCAAAGGAAATAAATAAATTTTAAAAAGACCAAAAAAAAAGCTATAGTGTTTGAGGATGAGCCCAGAGCAGGCAGGTATAACTTTGCAGCAAAAGGCAAACATTTTATCAAGCTTCTTTTTGCAAGGAACATTATTTTCATCAAATTTTTAAAGCAGAAATGAATGAACAATTATGACTATTATGTTTCCTTAGTCATCTCCTCAAGTAGCTAATTTTTAAAAGACCTGTCTCCTAGTATTTGTATTATTGTACTCATAAGTAGTGGTACACGGAAATAGCAACAGTTAGAATTCCAACCATTCTGCACTGTGATAACTAGCAGTCTTTAATTTGCAATCATGATGTTATGCTTATGTTTACATGTTAATCCAGCTAAATACAATACACAGACACATAACTAAGGTCATCATTGCAGTGGGACGGTATACATGTTCAGCACTACGCTCTTTGCTACATAAAAATTGTAGTTCCAGCTAAAAGTCTGAATGCAGAATTTGCGGCACTTTCAAATCACATGTTGAGTAACAGTAACCTGCATTTTCTTAACTACAGGTACAGGAATCTTCTAGATTAGGCTGTGCTATCATGGATAATTGGGTTAGATTAAAGTAGATGGTGCAATAACTTCATCAATGCTTAAGCAGAATAAGAGTGGTAGTCTAACTAAGATTTGTTTGAGGAGGAATGGAATATAGAACTGTCACAGTCACTTCAAAGTAACAATTTTTAAGAAAGAAGGCATAATAACAAAAGCCACACTAGTTCAGACTGTATTTTCACCAGTCCAGTATCAGGTGTCTAGCAGTGTCTTGCTGTGCATAGACAGGAAAAAAGTGGAAGAACCAGGGAAAGTGTGGAACAATCAGTTCTCTCGTATATTCTCTAGCATTTGGCAGGCACATCCTGGAGAACTTCTGAGCTGAAGGCTTCATCTGGAACATTATGTAAAATATTAATGGGCTTAACCACCTTTGATTTTTCCCTGTTTTAACTGATTATTTATTTTGGAATATTTTATCATTTTGCATTTAGGCCTACCAAGTGAAGAGCTCATTAAATCCCAAGGAAAATATGTACTATTAAATATGCACCTGCATACATTTTCTTCGGTAAGGCTGAGGGCAAGAGAAGGAATGGCATGGCCAAAACTTACAGAATAGAGCCATTTAAAAGTATTCATAAACATAATACAAAATCCAAGGAAGCAATGAAAACAGCTCTAAATAGAATTGTATTTTATAGAAAGCAACTTTTTTGATTTCCCCTTGTCAATGCCTGCTATGAATACCAGTCCCCTTGTTAAAGGTGTTATTTACTGGTGTACAGTGCTCAAACATCAGACATTTACAAAATGTTGTCATCTGCTGGAATCAATTTCGTCTGCATACTCTTTTGGTTTTGGTATTTCTGCATGCACCTTACCTATTTTAATGTCATAACAAATCTTTGAAATTCATCCATATTATGCTTATCATACTTGTTTATATGGCAGATTTTGGTGTATTTTAGTAAAAGAGTTTAAAATCCTCTCTAAATGTTATTGCTGAGGGTCAGAGCAGTTTATAAGAAAATTAAGAAAATACTGAAGTAATCGGCCATCAATAATAAAAGTAGTGCAAGTATTCCCTGACAATGAGAAATCTATAAGTCCGTTTTTCCCAGAGACTACCAGATGGGGCGATGGGGAAATGACATTGGTAAACTTTAAAGCCAGTAGAGGATCAGAGGAACTCTGCCGAAGATGTGCAGAGGAACTCCGATCCCCCATGGAGCCCAAAGTCCCCATGTTCCTGCGGGGTGCCCACCTTTGGTTGGACAATGGGATTCTGGTGTCACAGGCTGTGCTTTGGGAAGGGTTAGCTTGCTGCTGTTTTTTATTTTTTCCTCATTCTGGGAAGAAAACCAGAACCTGCTGTCCATAGACACACCCACCTCTCTCCCTGACCAAACAAGGAATTGAAAAGGTGGATAGGTGACAGAGAAACCACACTTTACTAAATTTATTCTTTCTTCCCAGTTTGGACTGACACCAGATATTGTCATGAAGGTGATTCCTCTCGAGCTCCATCTTGACTGACATAGTATGATCTAAGAGAGAAGATACAAGAGCATTTTGTTCGCAAGCCCATCTAAAAGATTGAACAAGATAACTTTTAGAGAGCAGGCATTAAACTCTAAATAAATGTACTTCTACATGAATACCTATGTTTCTGTATACATATATACATGCAGGTTTGTGAATATACATGCATGTACACTACAGAAGGTATTAGGATTTTTTTTTACATCTCCAAACCCTTGGTAGCTACGAGGCAAGTGTTATAATGAAGACAGATTTTAGCTTCGGTTATTTTCTAATACCAGCCTCCTGACATGAAATCAAACCAGGAAACTACGTAATCCTCTTTAAGTGTCTGATTCTAAGTAGAGAATGACATATTAATATGTTAAATGTCCATAAAAGAAATCAGAATTCCATATTAGTAATTGTATTCTTGACTCCTCAATTTCCATAACTTGCAACAGCTGCCTATTTTGTTTCTGGTTTTATGTTTGTTCACACATTGAATAGAAAAAGTAGATAAATAATGAAATATAAATACCATTAGATGCTCCAATGGTAATGTACAAAACTCTACTAACAGGCAAATTTTTTGCCTTTTCAAATTAAAAACCCCTATAGTATTGAATGGATAGACCTGAGATGGGTATTTCAAATTCAGGTAATGCTAGAATGAGATGGACAATAGGCATAAAAATCACACACATTTTACCTACAGTAAAGAAACTGGGTATCATGGTATACCTGATGAACTGAAGTCAAAATTCAAAGCAAGACTCAAAAAGTAATGTATAGCTTAAATCCTGCTTCATTTGAAAGCTTCCTTGGATGGAAGCTACTTCCCTGTTAGGAAATGATGGGAGCCATCCTGTTTTACACCATTCTCACCACATTAGAATAGAGCACGGAATGATTGCTTTCTGTGACAACTCGGGTAATAATTATAGCCCAAAAGATCACATGACCTCAGTTTTTAATTGAGAAATACCATCATTGCTAAATAAATTCCATCTAAATTTTGCGTTCTGCTAAGCACAAGATTTGAACTCTTTTGGTTCTGAATTGGCCTGTCTCTCCATCTGCAGGACAGACACCTCACTCATGTATATGGTACTAACACACGCAATGAAAATACTGTCATTAAGTTTATGTGTTCTCTAATCGTGAAAGTCTCATTAAAATAACTGGGCACTTCAGGCTTTGTACTTGTTACATTTAAATGGAACTTAGATTTTCTTCAGTGCTTGTTTCCTCTCCCTTCCTGTATGGATTAGTAGACAGCTGTTTCTCAGTGTGTGCAGCAGGGACAAGGTAGAATATCGTAAGCACTGGTCTTTTCTCTGGGAGTCAATCTGAGAGGGGTGATCATCAGGCACCTCTGTAAACAGTCTGGGATCTCATTGCTGGGCTGGAGCCCAAGTATTGATGGTTTTTAAGTTTGGCATTGTTGTCCTTCTGCGAGGTGTGAAGACCAACTCTGCTTTGTCCATAGAGACTCCGGTACCGTGAAGACACTGGTTGTGTCTGGGTAACAAAACCTGGAAAGGCGAAGGCAAATGATGCTTATCATTACTAGTACCAGCCTAAAGCAAACCAAACTGAGCCAAAACTTGAGGGGGAATTTGTCCCTCATTCGTGTGTTTTCTGCTATTTCTACATGGCAACAGGAACTTCTTGTTACTGACATGGAGAAATATATATAAAGCATGCCTGAAGGGGCAAAACTGTATAGTAGCACTGAAGAAATACTTTTAATATGTACATAAACAACTGCTCTATATGGATTCACTTACAAGAGTAGATATGATTTAAATTACTTTTCTTTCAGGAGGAACTTCAAAGACCTGGAGGGATTCAAAGTAGGGGCTACTTTTTCTACAGGGTATGGTTTGTTTGACTTTTTTTCTTTTCATTCTGTGATGTATCAGAAAAGATACTGGGCCTGACCTTCCCATTTTCCTTGTGTTTTGACCAGTAAGATTAGAAACTAGATACAGAAATTCTCATGAAAATGAAACTATTCTGTTTCTGATACTTTTTACTCCGTTTTCGCAAAATTGAGCAAGTTAAACATGGCAAGTCAGACTTAATAATAATTCTCTTGACTTTGGTTAACCTTTTTTTCTATTTAAATAAGAAAGCGGCTAATGAAAAGAAGGCAAGTTTGTACAGTTGTATTTCTTATTTATCAGGATTGGGTCTTTAGAGTTATGGGTAATATTAAAATCAATGCATTCATTATGACAGAGTGAAAAGCAAAGTCTTATTAAGCTCAGCAAGAGATTTTTTATCAGCTTTAGTAGACATTGCATCACGTTCCTTTGTAGTGCAAAATATTTCTGAAATGATCGTGGTGAAAAGGGAGAAACTCTTTGCCTATGTTAAAGAACACAGTCGAAAAATAAAATCACTGGGTCACATATATTCCCTTGTTAATTGCAACAAATACTTATAATGCAATAATGAAAACTATCTGGGAGCACATCTTAAGAAAACGCAAAAAGAATGAGGGATCATGATCACTTAGAGTAACTTCTTGTGGCTTTCTCCCCCTTATAAAATCATACAAGATGGGTATAATTCATTCTTCACTCTGTGTAAAGTAATTTTTACTGTATAATTCTCCTCCAGCAGTGGATATACATTAAACAATAACCGGTCTCAGGTTTATCTTTAATGATCATCATATGGACAGAACTGAAAAATTTCCCAGTTTCTATACATAGCAAATTGGGTGGGGCTTTGTTTCTGAAACCAGTCAGTTTTATAAAGTGTTTATTGGATATTTGTCTTTCAGCCACGTAACGGAAGGAGATCAGTGGATTTTCGCTAAGGAGGTATTTATTTAATGCTTTTAATCACAATCTATATTTAGATTAGTTTATTTTTATACAAATAGAGCACAATAATTATGTGGAGGAGTAGTCTCGGAAAGCCTTTAACTGTTTTGTCAACTTAGATTTCTGCAGACAAGCTTCTCACAGACATGCTAAATTCACTTATTTTCAGGTGAAGTGAATAGAAGCTGTAGGTACTGAGTTTCTAGAACAGAGAACGCAGACCTGTCTCAGACAGCAAGAAATGGAAAATATTCCAGATCTGTAAAGAGTTTGGAAAGTTAACGATGATAAGTGTATGTCAGGAAGAACTGATTCAACTACCTATCAAACACATACTGACCTCCTGGGGGTAACCCCCCTGTTCTTGCACAACAAAAAACCTCACAGTGAAACTAAGTACAGGCTTCAGGATTTAATTTCAAATTGTTCAGCTCTTTCGAGCAATATAAAAAAGTTTCCCTATTCTAATATTATAAAGCTTTGTTTTCTAATGTATCATACATCTCTATCATATTTTAAATATTTAGTGTTATATCATACCAACAGCTAAAGCTTTTTCTTATTTTTCAGGATTTTAGATTCCTGACCTAGAACTAATGCTGCAGG